TGCAGGGCACGCCCACCGCTCACCGTCCCCGGGATGTAGCAGAAGATCTTGTCGGCCGTGGTGTCCCCGTCGTCAGGACTGGCCTCGGAGCCAAACAGGCCGGCCAGCTTCCTGGTGCCATCCTCTCTGCGGACAGAGGGAGCGTCACAGCCTGGCCCCCAGGCGGGCGGGGGCGACCCCGAGACCCAGCCTGAGCCGCCCCCTCACCTGCTGCCCTTCAGCGAGGGCTTCCTGGAGAAGGAGGCCCTGAGCCTCCTGGAAGCCTGGGGCACGCAGTGGCTGTTCCCCATGGGCGGCGGCGGCAGCGGCTGGCCTGGAGAGCAGGGCGACAAGTCTGGGTCCCTGGGTCCTGGGCCTCCTGCCCCCACCTCCCGGGGCGGGGCTGGCGGCGTCTGCCTGGTGCCCAAACACAGGGCGAGGGTGGAGCCTCTCTGGGCGGACCGGCTCCTACCTGGGCCCAGCCTTTCAGTCCTCAGCCCCGGGTCCTCTGCATAAGGCCGTCCTGGGAGGTATGGGGGAGGCTCCCCCAACCCAGCCAAGAGCCCCAACTCAGCCTCCCACCTGTGAAGGATGGGCCTCCCAGGCCTGTCCCGGGAGTGCACGCCCCGCCTGAACCTGGGCTGGGATGTCTGGGGCTTGAGCTCGGGGAGACAGGGACCCCTTCGAGGCATCCCACGTGAGCACACATCCTGTTTCCACCTCAATGCCCATCTGAGTCACCAGTGACTGTAAGGAGGGAGGGGGGTGCTCGCTGGGGAAGCAAGTCCAACATGAGGGAAGGGAAAGCCAGGACCCCCTCCCCAGCCTCCTCGCTTGCCTTGGCTCAGTCCTCACTGCGCCAAGGTCAGGGTCCCACAGGCTTAACCAGAAGCCAGGAAGGAGGCGTGGACTTCCCAGGGGGGTGGGGCAGCCATGGTGGGCCTTGGGCCACGGGGCCTCGCAGGACCAGGCTGAGGGGCCAGGGTCAGCCTCTTGTCCAGGACATCGCAGTGCTGCCCCAGCTGGACACGATGGCGCCGCCTCCAAGGCCCCAGATGCCAACACTGTACCTCTGCCCAACTGTATACCCACCCCCAGACCTTCCTGGTCAACCCAGACAGAACCCCAAAAGGCAGAGATCACGCTGGACACAGGCCCAGAGCCCGAGGAACACGTTTATTGTCCAAGGCGGCTCATATTGCTGAGGGGTCTGGGGCACCCGCGGTGCCAGCTCAGTGCAGGATCCAGGAGACGCCACGCCCACAGGCAGGAAGGCCCACCCCCGCCGGCCTCCCGCAGCACGCCTTGCCCTTGAGGCCAGGGCCTGTGCCAAGTGGAGGCTGGGGGTCTGCACCTGCTCAGAAGGCCCCCTCCCCCCACCCGTGGCTCTGCATCTACCCCTTGGTCCCCCCAGATCTGCAGAGTCCGAGTTGGCCCTGACCCACATCCCTTGAGTGTCTACCCCCAGCGAGAGGGCAGGACACCCGGATGGCAGCTTGGTCCCAGAGACGCAGAAACTTCCAGAGCAATCGTATGAACTGGTAGCTGGGGCACTAATCATCAATAAATACTGAATAAATACACACACGCATAAATAAACGCACACACATAAGTGAACACTGCGGAGTGGACACAGACATGTGGACAGACGGTACAGGGCGTCCCTGGTGGGGAACCCAACCCCGATGCACGGTGGAGGGCAGGGAGGCGCTGGCCCCCGTGGGGCTTAAGGCATGTGGGAGGCTGTGGGCGAGCCTGTCAGTCCCGCCGTGGTCAGAGGCTGGTGGACGACACGGACAGTGTGGGCGAGGATGGAGGCGGGAAGTTGAGCAGCTCCAGCACCGCCACGCCCACGCTGCTGCGCCGCGTGAACATGCAGGACGCCGACACCCACTTGTTGGTCCTCGGGTTGTATTTCTCGATGGAGTTGAGGCTGGAGCTGCCATCGTTGCCCCCCACGGCATACAGCCACCCATCCATGGCCACCAGGTCGTGGGTGCTCCTGGGGGCGGGGCGGGCGGGTGTGAGATCGCAGATGGGCCACAGGCCAAGGCAGAAGCCTCTGGGGATGGGGCCACAGACCATGGGAGGAGCCTCCTGGAGCTGGGAGGTGCGGGGGGTGGGGGGGCAGTACTGGAGCTGAGCCTAGACAGGGAGGGGGGATGGGCATACCACGCAGGGTGAGACAGCTGGCAGTTGTCTCTGAGGGGGCAAACAGGCTGTGGGGGGACAGGGCCCTCCCGGGCTGTGGCACAGCACACCTTCGGATGTTCATGGGCGCCACGCTCTCCCAGGCGCCGGCCTTGGGGCTGTATCTCTCCACAGAGTTGAGGCAGCTGGTGCCGTCGTTGCCGCCGGCCACGTACAGCGCCCCCTCCAGCACTGCCACGCCAGCCGAGCTGCGCCGGCTCAGCATGGAGGCCACCGGTGTCCACGTGTTCGCCTGTGGTGGGGGAACCCGCTGGGGCACACCCACTACCAGCCCCCCTCCACCTCCACAGCACACAGCCCCCTCCAGGCCGGGTGTCCGTGGGACAAGGGGGGAGGGGCGGAGGGACCTAAAGGTCTGAGGCTCTGGGGGGTGTGGGTGGCCAGAGTGCTGACCGCAGACAGCCCTTGGGGAGGGGAACACCTGTGACTGGGGTGTTTCGCACCTGGGGCTCATACTTCTCCACAGTGGCCAGGTGTGAGGAGCTGTCGTAACCGCCCACCGCATACAGGTTGCCATCTGCAGGGAATCAACATGCCCGTGGCCTGCCTGCTGTGTGTGGGGTCTCCAGGGTGGGGCAGGCAGGGGTGGGCGCCACAGCAAGCAAGCCCTGTCACCCACCAAGCATAGCAACACGGACATATCGCCTGCGGGTGCTCATGGCGGCGATGGACGTCCAGGTTCCCGTCAGGGGGTCATAGCGCTCGGCACTGCGGACAACAGGACCACTGCTGGCCTTGAGTGGCAGCAGACCAGGGCTGCCCTCCCCCAGAGGATGGGAAGTCACAGAGACTGACCCCAGAGTCTCACTGGAGCAGGAAGCGGGCCTGCTGGGTGTGCATGGGCCCCTGCTGCCTGGGCGATCCTGTGCCAGTGCCCACCTGGGCCCAGTCCTGGATCCATGGGAAGGACCCCAGAGAGGAGCAGAAGGGACAGGTGGCTGGCACAGAAAACAGGCCTCGGGACTTGAGACAGACGGGATCCCGCTTTGCTCCCCTCGAGGTATGACCTCTGCAGTCCTGGTGCAGCACACCTGTGGCCGAGCCCAACCCTAAAGGCCACCCTGCCCTGACCCCCGCCACTACCTGTTGAGGCAGGAGGCCCCATCGTAGCCACCGGCTGCGTACAGGAGCCCGTGCAGGGCAGCCACTCCCAGGCAGCTGCGCCTCGTGCCCATGGACACCTCGGGCTGCCAGGTGTTGGTCACAGGGTCGTACGACTCCACGGTGGCCAGATCTGAAGTCCCGTCGTAACTAGGAGAGGAGTCCGCTTCCGGTCAGGGCTGGCCCGGTGGGCACACATGGGCCCCTCACCCGAGAGCAGTCTCCACACGTACCCGCCCACTGCGTACAACCGGTTCCCGACTGCCGCCACGCCCACCCGGGCTCGGCGTGTGGACATGGAGGCCACCACGTGCCAACGGTCCGTACGTGTGTCGTAGGCTTCACAGTCCCCATGGATGGCGAACAGGCTCCCGCCACCTAGAGAGGGGGAGGGGATGGGACAAGAGGAGGGGCTCAGGGAGGTAATGGGCTGGGGGGCTCTGGCACAGCTCAAGGTGGAGGGCATTGGGGCTCCAAGGGTGCGGACAGGGATTTGAGTGGACACACCACATGGGGCCTCCAGAGGTGGACAGAGGAGCAGCATGGGTGGGCGCAGGATGTGACCAGCACAGGGGGATGGGCTGGTGTCGGGCTCGTGGACAGAAGAGGCCTGACAGAGGTGAAGGGAGAGGGAAGGGATGTGGGGGACCAAGCAGGTGGGCGCACCCACAGCGAAGAGCACGGGGCCGGCACCCTCACAGCGTCGGGGCCGAGTGCGGCTCGTGCCCAGCACGCCTCTCTGCTCTGGCAGCAGGTGGAACTTGAGGGCCTCGATGAGCAGGTCCTTGCAGTCAGGGTGGTGCCGCACCAGGCTCTCGGCGTCCACGTGGCCCAGCAGGAAGTCGCGGCTCAGCAGGGGCAGACGCACACACTTCATCAGCTGGGGTGCGGGAGCGGGCAGCACGGTCAGGCAGCAGGTAGGACCCGTGGGCACACTTCCTCCTGGCAGTGAGACCCCCCAGACACCTGTCTGCCTGTCCCCCGGACACTTCTCGAGACACGTGCCTGCAACACCCTGGACACGGAGGAGCCCAGGCGCACCCAGGTCCTCAGATACGGCATCCCCTCCAGACACAGCAGCCCCCGGGGCTGGCCTCACCCGTGGGACGTGCTGCCTCCGAGCATCCACGTCGTGCTTGACCCAGCTCAGGACGGCACGATAGACGTCCTCCTCTGAAGGCACGTTCAGGCTGTCACTAGAGACCAGTTCCAGCACCTGGGGGTAGGGACCCTCAGACCTGAAATCTGGGGAGGGTCTTGGGGGCCCACGGAGCCCTGATGATCCTGGGAAGGAGAGTCCAATGGGGGCCCCAGTGTTCCTATGAGGAGGGGCCAAGTGGCGTCAGGAGCCACAGACCCAGTTCCTGGGTGCCCAGGCCCAGAGCAAAGAAGAAGGCTTGGGTGGGGTCAGAAGATGGGGGCAGGGGATGTGTCAGAGGCAGGGGGTGGGGCTGGAACATGGGTCAGAGGCTGGGAATAAAGGCCAGGGGGAGAGGCCCGGGCCTTAAGGGCCCAAATGATGGGGGTCAAAGAGTTCAAGGGCTGGGTGCTTTCTGGGGTCCAGGGACTGGGTCATGGTCCAAGCTGCACCCTAGCTGGCACATTACCTGCTTTAGCGGCAACAGCATGAACTCCTCCGTCTTGGCCACGTCCACGAAGTGCTGCAGCACGTACCTGTGTGCCGCCTTGAGCAGGTCGCTGCACGAGTGCGTGTCGGCAAAGCCCCGGATGCCCAGGCAGTTGGAGGGGTCCAGCTGACTCAGCAGGAACTTGCAGCAGGCGTCACGGACGCCGTTCAGCTGCAGAAGGCTGGCAGCGGGGAGCAGAGTCTGTGGGTGAGGAGGGAGAGAGGGCAGGGGAGCAGCGACAAACAGGTGAAGAGAGCTGAGGCAGGAGACCAGGTGGGACACAGGTCTCGAGGGGGAAGCACCTCACCTGCACGTTGCCCTCGCCCACCACAATCTCAGCCGTGTACGCAAACTGCACCAGCTGGTCCAAGGCCTGAGGGTCGATGTCATGCAAGGTCACGTGGGTCTGGCGGCTCTCGCTCATCTCATCTGTGGGGACGGGACGGTGGGTCAGGCCAGTCCCGCCGGGGAGACCGGAAGAGCCCCCGAGTGCCCACTGGTGGGGTGTACTTGCTTGTGAACATGGCGTGGAAGTAAGGGCTGCAAGAGGCCAGCACCACCTTGTGAGCTCGGATCTCCTTGGCGGCCACATGCAAAACGATGTCGCACAGGAGGCCGCGCTGCCGCATGCGGCTCATGGCCACGAAGGCATCGTGGTAGTGCCGCTTGGAGTTGTGGGACACGGTGTGGCCCTCCCGGCTCAGCAGCTGCATGGCACCCTCCATGGGGGCTGTGGGCCGGGTCTGCCGGGTCCGCGCACGCTCGG